CTCTAATCCCCCTGCAACTCAGACTAACCTGAGCACAACAAAGCCCCCACCCAAACAGAACACTCCCCCATCCAATCAGAGCACAACCAACCCCCCATCCAATCAGAGCACAGCCAAGCTCCTTAACCAATCAGAACACACCTCCACCAATCAGAACACAGCCAAGCTCCAACCCAATCAGTTCAAACACCACTGGCAGTTAAAAGGAAGAAACAGCTGCGATCACACATTACTCCTAGAAGCACGAAGCTGAAGACACCAGCCTGAAGATGACGAATGGGACTTCGTCGAAACGTCGCCAAGACACTTCCAATTTTACGCGGGAGAAAACCCGAATAACCAAAGACCTACATATATATATATGTAAACTATATGTATATAGTTTAGGCTACAATTCTATAACTATTTACCCGAGGTTAAGTGTCATTTAATTAAATGAGACTTATTTTTGAGTAGACATTAGTAAGACTGTACAATCAGTCAAGTAACTTTTCCTACAACTTCTTTGCTATTTTGTGAATTTAACAATGCAGTCTTAAAGTAAAAAATTCACCTCTTTCAAATTTCAACTTCTGGTACAATTGAAATTGGTCCGCAGACACCAAGCTGGCTATCTGGAATGAAGAACACAACAAGATGTTAAAAAGAAAAATGTGGATTATAATCATTCTTTTCTAAAAATAGCTCAATCAAGATTCCCCCTCCCCACACTCACTCATAGAGAAATTGCAACACTAGTGATTGAGCTGAATTTAAAAAAGAAAATAGTCTGAATGCAATTATTAGTAAATACTCTCAAAATCTCTGTAAATAATATTTTTTTAAAAAAGTTTCTCTGTGTCAAACTTACTCCCGAGGACCACATGGATTTATTATATTGTTTTCTTAGCAAAAATATGGAAATATTTGACTTTCACATCTAGTCTCCTGCCATGATTGTTTTTTTTAATGATTATCCAAAAACTAACTAGGTTTTGCTTTTTAAAGATTATTCAGTCAGCCAGACGCTGCTATCTATATTAAGCCAAAAATGGTAACACTAGGAATTTGATCTATAATCCAGATGGGAAGAGGGAGGATCCAATTTAGGTATTTTCATCACACATTGTTATATAATCATGCCACATTATCATGTTTATGTATTATGGACACTGATTGCAAAGTATAGGGATAATTAAGTCAATAATTTTTTTTATTAGCTTGCTTTAATAAAACATGTGCGACTGAGGATTTGGGAACACTGGAAGAGGGATTAACCATTCAATATCAACCTGCAATCAAAAAGCAGAAAGACCATAATATCTGAAGGAATTATATATCTCAAAATGTGTATGGAGCCACAAACAAATCTCTAGGTCATTCACATTTAAATAATATTAAAACAAATACTTCAGGTCTAGCTATGTACAATCTCTAAATGAAGGCTTTTAAAGATGAGCCATGTTTTTCAATATTCAATATAATTTGCTTTGGGGTTGTTGTTTTTTTACTGGTGACAGTAACACGTCTAAGATGATGATTGACTGTGTGCCAGTATGGAAGATTCAAATGACCAGAACTGTCACATGATAATGATCATAATAGCTAAAACATCACTTGCTGAATATACTCAGATTATTCCCCTGTGCAATATTCTAATCATTCCAGCACTCAGCTCCCTCCCTACCAGAGCAAATGCATCCCTAGACAAAATGGATTTATTATCAGACAGAAAGGGCCCTGTTAGCATCTCCCACTGATATTAATCATTTGGATTCTATTCTGCTTTCCATGGCAGCAGTAATGTAACATCTGTGATTATCCTAAATTGAAACACTGTTCTAAGACATACCCTTTGATTCTGACATCTGAGAATCAGGAAATTTATTTATTTTATTTATTTCTATACTGCCCATTATGAGAAGAAGCATATGTTCATACAAAGGATTCTGCCCTTTTAAATTAAATATATATATTGTAGTGGTGCAGTCACAAAGTGGGTATAATTTAAGAATCAGATATTTAGACTTACTTCATGTGAATAATTTGATGTAACAATAAAAACATACCTATACATACACAGATAAAAAAACAACAACCCTAAACCAGAGAAGGAAATGGGTCAAAGATTACAAGATACTATTGTGATAGAAACCCTGCTTCTATCTGCCACCATATACTTCAAAAGGGAACAGGATATGCTAAAACTGCCTCAACCCCTACCCACATATACATGCCATTAACTTCTTTGACTCTCACAAGAATAGCTAGTGTGTAAATTCTTGCTGTTTCAGAAATTCTAGCTCTGCAACTAATAAAAACGCCTCATCAAATTGCTTCTCTCCAGCAAATAATGATAAATAGTAATATTACTATCTTACTCTTTTATTGTTTTATTACAGAAGCAACTTCAAAATAATTTCTCAGGGGCATTCAGTTTCTCTTTAATGTTAATATATAGTAGACAACATAACTGTCTACCAGTAAGTCACCTAGAGCAATCCTTATTTAAATGCCAGTAATAAGTAATGGATGTAAGGTAATGAATGCTATTGACACTGTGATTTCAGAATCGTATTTCTACAAATGATAGATTTAATGTGCTTTTTCTCTTACTCTTTCTTTCATCATTCCTATTTTAGATTTCCAATGGATGTCAGTTTATTGCTACCCCTACTCTAGCAAGAGAGTGCACATTACTCCTATCATAAAATATTCATTTCTGTTCATTAAATACCTCCCTCACCATCACAAACAAGACTGAGGATTTGTTAGGAGCAGCAGAAAGAAAATGAAATAATTGGATATAGGAAAGCAAACATCTTTGGGCAGTGTTTCTCCTTTTTGCTATGGAATATAAAAATAAAACAGGCCCATATTAAAACAATGGAATAGTGAAAAGCTATCACACAAGACAGGATTGTGTTGTTATTAATAATAAAGAGTTTGGTGAAGTACGTACCCAGAGGCAGAGATTTGTCTTCCCCAGACAATGAGGTTATATAATGCAAAATTTTATAGCAGTCAATGGAAAGCAGATGTTTACTGTCAGATCATATTTGTTGTGATAGGAAATAAATGCACAGCTCTCCCAAACAAAGCCATTTATCTCCCAACACTCTCTTGTTACGATACCATTAAGAAGAGATCTCAGAAAAAAAGACAGCTAATGACAGGTCATGGAGAAGCAGAAGGCAACAAATAAGAGACATGGGTTTAAGCACAACAAAACAGCCTGGGTGGAATAAAGTAAATATATAACTAAATTAAGATGGTATTTCCTTGCTATCCTATCCTCTAAGCCCAGGACAAAAACTTTTCAATGTCTCAAGCTTCCCTCTTGAATCTGCACTAAGGAAAGAATTACTTGCACTTTTAGGGCTCTGTCTCACAACCTTGCTAATGTACATTTCTCCAGTCCTTGAATCAGCCAAATAAAAAATAAAAAAAAAATCCCAGCACAATCTGCACTGCTCCAACTGACGAGCACAAATTTTACTCGCTAACAAGGCTTGTGAATTGTTCTCTTTTAGACGTTTACTGCAGGACAATTCAAGGGAAATGATGGGTAAACTTCCCAAACTTCAATTGCTTTCTCACCCAACATCACAAGCTGACAGGAAGAAAAAAACCCATCAGCAATTGAAGTCAGGGGCAGGTCTGAGCAGAATGATTAAGTCAGTGTTTTTCAATTCCCAGGATTCTCCAGCCAGCTTGTTGAGAAACAGTGGAGTTAGGTGGCTGGGATGGAAACTACAGCCACCTTTCAAGTTGCCTGTGCGAGAAGTTGTCACAGCAAAACTGTTCCATGAAATAATTAACGCTTGAACTGTTTTGTAAACAGGGGTCTATTGGTCTTCTAGAAAACCAGTCAATCTGTCTCCAAAAATAACCCAACTGATAGGTTGGTGGGGCAAAGAACGATTGTAAAACTGGAGAAAATTCACCCAGCACATTAAGATTGCTTCTCATGCTTCACCCTGGGTCTGTCTTCTTTTCCTCTGCCCTTTTCCTCTTATCAGAGGGACTAATTTTCGACAGAATTTTACCAAACTTCCAGAGAAGATACTTTACTTTCAGTAATAGCCTGAATAATAGGTCACAGGCTGTGAGGGCATGACTAACTGACCCTGGGAAAGCGGAAGAGGAAACAGGAAACAGCACAAGGGACACCATAGCAAGGGGAGGGGAAAGCGTGAGAAACAGACACAGAGTAACTCTGGCTTAATTATGCTGGGTATAACCTAAGCAAGAGAATTGCTTTGACAGGTTTTCAAGATCCTGTTATATTACTTTACTAGCAATACACATCTTTCCAGAAACCTAACTGCTGCTTGTTTCCAAGTTTGCCAACTTTGGTCTCAGAACCAAGGACCCCCACAGTTAATCCCAACTTCCCAATGTTCCAAAGGCACTAAGGGAAATGAATAGTTGTAGAAGGCACCATCTCGAAGTATCCTATGGAGAATGTAAAATGTATGGGTGTAAGATAGTATGTAAAATGGAATGGCCAAATTGATTTATTTGTGTATTTTTTATTCCACCTTTATTATTTTCACAGATAACTCAAGGCAGCAAACATATACAATACACCTTCCTTTTATTTTCTCCACAGCAACAACCCTGTGAGGTGAGCTGGGTTGAGAATGAGTGGTCCACGGTCACTTAGCCGGCTTTCATGGCTAAGGCAGGACTAGAACTCACAGTCTCCTGCTTTCTAGCCTGGTGCCTTAACTAAACTGAAGTTCTCCCCACCTGCAAACAATAAAAACAGTATAAAGTATAGCTACACAAAAGCCCTTGTTGGCTGAAGTAGTGGAAAACTTGTATTGTAATATCCTAATTTGGGGCAAAATCCACACCACACATCTGACAAAAGCAGTTTTTCCCCAGTTTAAAATGACCCTACATTCATCGAGCACCAAGCTCACTGAATAAGATTTCAGGGAAATACTATTTTAAATTACTTATATTCATTCTCATTAGGAGGTAGCTGTTTCATTGCCTTCAGTTTCCTTCTGTGATGGCAACAACTGTTATCTAATAAATTCAAGTCAAATATTTTGTTTCCACAAATATGCATTTTGTGTTTCCTTTGAATTACAGAACTCTTGAAAAAGGAAGCACACATTCAAATCAAGTTAGGCAATAGCATAACATTTGGGTTAAGCACCATGAAAACATTTTTCCTAGTTGTCCATGTTAGATATTCAAAATCTGACTTAGGAAGTTAAATACTATTTGTTATACTTCAGGCAGCAAAATGTGCTGAGTGATACCTATCTGGCAACCAATAGAGAGTTTTCTGTAAGATTTTCATCTTTCAATTTCAGCATCCATCAGAGTTCCATTATAAATTATCATGATTTTTCTACAGAAGCATTAGTTTTGCGGCGCATCTACTATTTCTGCTTTTACTCAATACAAACAAAGGAATATGGAACAACTGTAATTTGAAGATAGATTTCTGTTTTAGAAACATTATGAAACACTGGCAAGGCTAGAATCAGTTTCTGAATGAAGGGGTTTTTTTAAAGTGTTTAATGTTTTAAAATAAAGATAGGTGGCTAATGTTGTTTTCTCTAGGTCAACACTTTTATACATGTCACTGAAATGATGACAAAAGATATCCATT